GGCCCTCTGTCCCCAGCAGCACCCACAGAATAACGCGAGGTGGCCCACACAGCAGGGCATTGGCTGGACTCCTGTGGACAGAGACCCGTCCCTGCTCCCCCAACCCTCGGGGGCTCCAGCACAGTCCCCCCCTCAGAGACGGAGGCTCCCCGTGGCTGCAGTCATAGGGTGGGGCGTGGGGAGCAGCCACGTGAGTCTGCGGACCACGTCAGCCCCAGTGGCGGGGGATTTGGGGTGAGGGATCGTGGCTAAAAAACAAGATCCTGTGACTCCCCGTCACCCCAATGCCTTTGTTCCTGGGGCTAAATTGGTCCCAGGAGGCTATAATTAGAAAGAAAGGGGACAAGAGGGACAAAGAGCAGTGAGGGCCAGGTCTTGCTGTGGCCTCGGGCTGTGCACCCGGCCCCAAGAATGCTCCAGCTTGTTCCCCGGCCAGGCGGCCTGGATGACACAGGGTGACGGTGGCGTGGTGTGGGGCTGGTCACCAAGGTGACCGCAGCCCGAGAGAAAGCTGCGTTCTGTGTCGCGGCCCGTGGGGGTGGCAGCCGTGGGGGGGGGCAGTGGTCATGTGAGGGTTTGTAAGCTCGGGAACGGAGGCCAGGCAGGCCGGGATGAAGCCCCGTGCCTCGGGTCACTCCTGTCCTCAGCTTCCCGGCACGAAGGAAATGTTGTCACCCTGGCCCTGTGCCGGGGCGAGGGGGTGGCGCCAGGCTCATGAGGAAGCTCAGCAACGCAAGACAAGCGGCCAGGTTGCGGGGAGAGCTGACAGGGCTGCACTGGGTCTCCCCACCTCAGACCCAGACAAACTCCTATGCGTCCTGCAAAGTCCCACGCAGGGGTCATGCCCTCAGAGAATCTCATCAACAGCCATGCCCCAGTGAACTGTGCTAAAACTCATTCCCCACAGGGCTTTTCCACAGCTCCTGGCAGGTCCCTTGTGGGCTGGGAAATGTTTCAGCTACTGAACACCACACATATTTGCCTGGGGCAGGTGGCTCATGCCTGTAAGCCTAGCTACTCAGAAGGCTGAGATCTGAAGATCATGGTTCGAAGCCAGCCCAGGCAGGAAAGTCCATGTGACTCATCACCAATTAACAATCACAAAACTGGAAGTGATACTGTGGCTCAAAGAGGGAGAGTGCTGGCCTTGAGCAAAAAATCTCTGGGACAGCACCAAGACCCTGAATGCAAGCCCCATGACTGACAGAAAAGAAAGAAAGAAAGAAAGAAAGAAAGAAAGAAAGAAAGAAAGAAAGAGAGAGAGAGAGAAAGAAAGAAAAAAGAAAGAAAGAAAGGAAGAAAGAAAGAAAGAAAGAAAGGAAGGAAGGAAGAAGAAAGCAAGCAAGCAAGCAAGCAAGCAAGCAAGCAAGGAGGTGACTCACGCCTGTCATCCTAGCTACCAGGGAAGCTGAGATCTGAGGATCACGGTTCAAAGCCAGCCCAGGCAGGAAAGTCTATGTGATTCTTTTTTTTTTTTTGGTCATGGGCCTGAACTTTGGGCCCATGTCCCTGCGCTCTTCAGCTCAGGGTGAGCGCTCTACCACTTGAGCCACAGCACCACTTCCTCCATGTGACTCTTATCTCCAATAAACTACTAAAAGAAAAGCTAGCCAGGCGCTGGTGGCTCACGCCTGTAATCCCAGCTACTCAGGATGCTGAGATCTGAGGGTCTCGGTTCAAAGGCAGCCCAGGCAGGAAAATCAGTGAGACTCTTATCTCCAATTAACCACCAGAAAACAGGAAGTGTGCTGTGGCTCAAGCCACAGCTTGAGCTGAAGAGCTCAGGGACAGTGCTCAGGCCTAGAGTTCAAGCCCCACAACCAACAAAAAAAAAAAAAAAAAGAAAAAAAAGAAAAGAAAGGAAAAAAAAAGAAAAGCTAGAAATGGAGCTGTGACTCAAGTAATAGAACACCAGCAGTGTTGAGTGAAAAATTCGCTCAGGGATGGTGACTGGGCCCTGAGTTCAGGCCCCAGTAAAAACAAACAAACAACAACAAAAGAAAAGTGGAGCCCGTGAGTTCCTGCTGAGTTCCAGGGTGAGGTGCAGGTGTGGAGCGCACAAGCCTCCTCTAGAGGGTGGCAGTGCCCTCGGAGGGGGGACCCTGAGCCTCAGCTGGGGACATGTGTGGCTGCCGCAGCTGGGGGACTCCTGGCCTGGAGGAGCTGGTGGAGGCTGGGGAGGCAGCTCGGCCCCAGGAGGCCAGCAGAGAATGTCCAGAGTTGGGGTGCTGGGCTGTGGAGCGATCCAGCCCAGGGCGAGCTTCCTTGTGAACCCCCACTGCGCTTTGGCCGCAGTGGGGTGACAGGAGAGGCCTGGAGCTGCTGTGGGATGTCCACAGGCCTCACCCCCACACCCCGCTCCCCCTCCCCCGTCCCAGGCCATGACTCCCCAGTGTCCAGTCACGGCTCTGCAGGGGCCGGGGCCGGGGGGGGGGGTGCCACCAGCACTGCCGGGGAAAATGTCTCAACACCTGGACTAGATCTTGGTTTGACATCAGCCCCCTTGTCCTGTCCTGGGCTCAGAGGCGGACCTACCATCTCACCAGAAAGAAGCCAGGAGGAGGAGGAAGAAGAGAGGAGGAGGAAGAAGGGGAGGAGGGGGAGGAGGGGAAGCCTGCAGTCTCATCCGAAGGCTGGGCTGGGGAGAACACATTCGCCATTAGCAAGCACTGCAATGTGCTGTACGAAATTTGGGGTGCCTTCCTGTGGAACCTCCTGGAGAACCAGTCAGCAGCCTGCTGCAGGGAGGAAGAGCAGGTGCAGGGCTCGCTCACGCTCCCCCCACCCCGGGGAGACCTTTCTCTGGGTCCCTAGCAGCTTCTGCCCCAGCGGAGGCCCTGATGACTCTCGTGGAATTTCTAACAAGGAGACTGAGTGTGTGGTTTTGCTCAGACACATCCCATCCATTTTCCATTACGCCTTTTCTTTCAAAGGCCCAAACACAGCCAAGGCTGCCTGGGCGAAGGCTGGTTCGCATGAAGTCTTTATGGGACAGTTGAAGGAAGGCCAGGGTTTCTGGGGCGGGGTGGGGGGGGGCGGGGGGCGGGGGGCGGCGGCTGGCAGGGCACATCACCCGCATCCCCACTTCTAGCAGCCTTCCTTGGCTTTGGTAAATTAAATGACTTGAGGAAGTCCAGGGACCTTTGAACTCTGGACCTTGTACTTGCTGGCCTGGCACCCAACCACTTGAACTATAGCTTCATTTCCTAGCTTTTTGGTGATTAATTGGAGATCAGTCTCATGGATTTTCCTGCCCAGGCCAGCTTTGAATTGTGATCCTCAGATCTCAGTAGCTGGGATGACAGGTGTGAGCCACTGGGGCCTAGCTTGGAGGCAGAATTTAAGAGTATGCAAAAAGCTGCTCATTGATAAAGCATATGTAATATGTATTGTGTAATATGTATTGTGTGAATGTTAATGGAACACTACTGCAAAACAACAACAAAAACCCAGGCTGGGAATGTGGCTTAGTGGTAGAGCGCTTGCCTAGCATGCATGAAGCCCTGGATTTGATTCCTCAGTACCATATAAAGAGAAAAAGCTGGAAGTGGCACTGTAGTTCAAGTGGTAGTGTTAGCCTTGAGCAAAAGAAGCTCAGGGGCAGTGTCCAGGCCCTGAGTTCAAGTCCCAGAACTAGCAAAAACAAAAACAAAAAAACCAACAAACAAAACACCAAAAAACCTAGGTGGACTCTGGGCTAGTGCTCTACCACTTCAGCTACAGCCCTACTCCGGGCTTTTTTAAGTGGTTAACTGGAGGTAAGAGTCTCACAGACTTCTTTGCCCCAGGCTGGCTTTGAACCACAATCCTCAGATCTCAGCCTCCTGAGCAACTAGGATGACAGGCGTGACCCACCAGCAGCCAGCAGATCCCAGTTTCAGGCCAGTCCACAACAAAAGTGAATGAGACCCTATCTCGACAAAAAAGCCAGGTATGTCTCGAATGATACATGCCTTGAAGTCCAGCCATGTGGGAGGTGTCAACAGGAAGATCAAGATCCAAAGGGGGGAAAAATGAGACCTTATTTGAAAAATATGTAAAGTTAAAAGCACTGGAGGTGTGGCTCAAGGGGTAGAGCACCTGTTTAGCAAGCATCAGGTCCTGAGTTAAAACGCTAGCATCACCCAATGATATACTGTAATGAGTGCCCTTTTTAGCCTCGCTCCCTCTAGCCTGGTCCTACTTGATATTTAGCACTCTTGGGGGCCAGTGGAGACCCAGGAAGTAAAAGGTGGAGGGAGTTGAACCCCACTGCCCAAACCCCCCATCTCCGTTCCTGAGCTAAATAATTAGCAGGCACCAGGTGTTTACAGAGGTGAGGAAGTGGAGATCTGGGCTGAACTCCTCACCCCCAAACCAGTCCTGCTGCCACTCACCCCACGAGCCCCACAGCTGCTCCCCAGCCCCCGTCTCAGCCAGCCATGTTTCCAGAAAGAAGTCAGCCCAGAAAATGAAAATGCACAGCAAGCTGTGCTATCAGGAAACCCAAAACACAGAAAAGAGGAGAGATCGCCAATCCTCACCCCACGGGACCCCTGTGGGAACCAGAGAAAAACAAGCAACCATGGGGCGCCAACAGCTCACGCCTGTCATCCCGGAAACTCAGGAGGCTGAGATCAGAGGACAGCTGTTCAAAGCCAGCCCGGCAGGCAGGAAAGTCCATGAGACTCTTACCTCCAATGATCCCACAAAAAGCCAGAAGTGGAGCTGTGGCTCAAGCAGTAGAAGGCCAGCCTTGAGTACAAAGCTCAGGGACAGCACCAAGGCTCTGAGTTCAAGTCCCACAACAAAAAAGAAAAGACAAGGGGCCCAATCCAAGAGAAGGAAGGAGTGAGCAATTGCCTACAAATCTGAGACCCAGGTTCTAAACCCCTCAAGGCAAAAGCCAAAAATCACACACACACACACACACACACACACACACACACACACACACACATTCATCTCTGCTTTGGCCTAACAGCCCAGAGTACAACCCAAAAAGATGAAACACAGCCTACCTTTACCTATTTCTTCTGGAAGAGAGGTGTTTTTTGTTTGCTTTTTGTTTTCCTGTTTAAAAAAAGAGAAAGACATGGTTACATAGACGCCAAATGTTGTCCAGCATGTGGAAAATACAAAAGGACCACATTCTCCAGATTCCCTGAGGAAGAATCAAGTTCATTTCTTTTTTGGTTGGTCGTGGGGCTTGAACTCAGGACCGGGCCGCTGTCCCTGAGCTCTTTTGCTCCAGGCTAGTGCTCTACCACTTGAGCCACAGCACCACTTCTGGTTTTCTGGTGGTTCATTGGAGTAAGTGTCTTACCGACTTTCTGCCTGAGGTGGCTTTGAACCATGATCCTTAGACCCAGCTTCCTGAGTAGCTAGGATTACAGGTGTCATGGGGCCTGGCTTCTTCTTCTTTTTTTTCCTTTTGCCAGGCTCAGGGCCTGGGTGCTGTCCCTGAGCTGCTTTTGCTTAAGGCTAGCACTCTACCACTTGAGCCACAGCACCACTTCTGTTTTTTTCTGTATATGTGGTACTGAGGAATCAAACCCAAAACGTCATGTGTGCTAGGCAAGCACTCTACCACATTCCCAGCCCTTTTTTCTTTCTTTTTTTTTTTTTGAACTCAGGGCCTCATGGCTGTAGGTGCTTTACCAGTTGAACCACACCTCCAGCTCTTCCTGGTTTCTGGTTTTTGTTTCATGGGAGATTTCTTTCTTTCTTTCTTTTTTTTTTTTTGTCAGTCGTGGAGTTTGAAGTCTGGGCCTGGGCACTGTCCCTTCAGCTCAAGGCTAGCGCTCTGCCACTTGAGCCATAGTGCCACTTCTGGCTTTTTCTGCTTACATGGTGCTGAGGAATCGAACCCAGGGTCTCATGCATGCAAAGCAATCACTCTACCACTGAGCCACCTTTTCAGCCCCTATGTGAGATCTTATGTTTTTGTTCTTGTTTTTAAGGGCTAGTTTTGGACTGTAATGTTCCTACCTGAGCTGCCAACACAGCTGAGATTAAAGATGTGAGCCACTATGCCCGCTTTATTGTTGAGATAGGAGTCACTAACTTGTTGCCCCGGGGTAACCTTGATTGAGGCCCTTCCCAATCTGCTACCTCCAGAACAGCTGGGATTACAGGCCCACCTGTAATCAATTTAATTCTTCACCACCCATCCATTCCCAAAAGACAATAAGTTCTCTCTGTGGGGGAAGTGGGGTGGAAAGGGGTCACGTTTTTTCTTCTTGAATTTGTATTCTTCCATTACAGAACACGAGGTTTCCCCAACTCGTGGTCAAAGTCTCCAACATCAGATGTCCCCCCACCCCCAGCAGAAAAACAAAATTCTCCAGCTCTGAGTCTCCCTCCATGTGGAATAGCTGGGTGTTTTTCCGCCCTCTGCCTTTCTATTTGATGTCAGCCACGAGGAGGGAACCCGGAGCACTGGAGGGCAGACCAATTAACCTGGGAAGGGAGGGCTGACAGGCGTAGGCAGCAGACCCCCACCCCCCAAATCACATAGTAGCCACCAGCCTGGGGCAAAGGTCAGCAGGAAGGAAATGAGAGCAGTGAGCGGACTGGGGAGGGTCTGGGGTGCTGCTGGATGGGGTGGGGTGCTCCAGGGGGCAGGAGACCCCCCCAACTCCTTGATTCTGCACCAAATGCAAGGAGGCTGGCAGAGGCCTGGTGCATGCAGGGAAGCTGCAGAGCTGGCAGCCTGGCCCACCTCCTGTTCTTGGGGATCCCTGTGCCTGGAGCCGTGGATGGCCCGGTGAGGTCGCCGGAGGTCCACCCTGCACCGGGCTTCCTGACCTGCTCGCTGGGGCGGCTCGCGAGGCTCAGGCTGTTTCTCCGCAGCCCTGGTGGCCCCTGTGGTCCCTGCCAGCCCCCAGCCCCCAAACCCCTCATCCTTGCCAAACAGTTGGTGTTTCCCCCAGAATAACAGGGGTTTTTCCAGCTTGACTGGAAAGCCTGGCTGCAGGGCCCCCTGACCGGCCACGGGCCTTTCCAGCCGCCCTGGGCTCAGGGCTGGGTGTTGGGAGATCTGGTGTAGGGAAGTTGGAAAGCTGCAGATCTCAGGGGCTCAGCCACAGAAACTTTCTGTTAATTCAGAGGCTCCTGCGCTCCCTGCACAAGGACTGGGTTGTTTCTGGGGGTGTCCCAGGCCCTGCAGGGGGCTCAGCCCCACCCATGCCAGGAGCTCCCCACAGCCAAGAATCACAGCCATACGTCCCCAGGTGGTGCCAACCCCATGTTAAAAGATGGCGGGGAGCTGGGTGCAGGTGGCTCATACCTGTAATCCCAGCAACTCAGGAGGCTGACATACGAGATGGCAACTCCAAGCCAGCACAAGCAGAAAAGTTCATGAGACCCTTAACTCCAATGAACCACTGAAAAGCCAGAAGTGGAGCTGTGGCTCAAGTGATAAGAGTGCCAGCCTTTGGGGAAAACTGGGACAGTGCCCAGGCCCTGAGCTGAAGCCCCAGGACCAGCACTAAATGAATAAATGAATGAGTGAATGAATGAATGCATTAAATAAATAAAATATTCAGTTTCTGTCCAGCCAGGCAGGTTGGCACCTCCTGAGATACGGGTAGCCACCTCGCCCACCATGCTCCATGTAGAGGAAGATTCCAGAACCCCAGCACAGGCTCTGTGATCACTGTTACCCTCCACACACCTGAGGCTGATGTGCGTGCACGTGCCTGTGTGTGCGTGTGCGTGTGCATGCATGAGTGGAGGCTGAGAGCTGGCAGTTCTCTGGGTCTCTAGGCCACATGATCCTGAATCTTAGGGACCCTGGGCCAGGTCTGGGGACATGAGTGTGTGTCAGGACTTGGGGGGGGGCTCCTGGCCTGGGGGGAGCCAAAAGACACTGCTCAGGGCCCCCGCAGGACCCAGGAAGCCCCAGAGGGTGACCCGGCTGATTGTGCCTGTTACAGGGGGAGTCCCTAAATCGGCCTTTTCCTTCCTTTCCCCCTTGCTCTCATGGTGCCCGAGAGCAGAGTGGGGGGGCCCCCAGAAAGCAAGAAAGAGGAAGGACTGTGGGCCTCAGCGGGTAATCCCCTACACCCCTTTTTCTCAGAAAGGACTCCTCCCAGCAGGGCTGGCTGGTACCCCTGATACCCCCTTGGTTTTGCAGGAAACTGCAGGGGGGCTGGCCGAATCTCCAGGCTGAGTCACATGCCTGCGCCCACAGCTGCCACCCTTGCCAGTCATCCCACACCCCAGAGGGCACAGCCACAGCACCACAGAATTCTTCTGTTGTGTGCCAGTCCTGGGCTTTGAACTGAGGACTGGAGCATTGTCCCTAAGCTTTTTCACTCAAGGCCCTCACTTTGCCACTTGACCCACAGCTCTACTTCCAGCTTTTTGGTGGTTCAACGGAGAAAAGAGACTCACAGACTTTCCTGCCCAGGCTGGCTTCGAACTATGATCCTCAGATCTCAGCCTCTTGAGTCGCTAGGATGACAGGCATGAGCCACTGGGGCCACACTGCAGCTTCTTAAAAAAAAAAAAAAAAGCTGGGCACTGGTGGCTCATGCCTGTCATCCTAGCTACTCAGGAGGCTGAGACCTGAGGATGGTGGTTCAAAGCCAGCCTGGGCAAGAAAGTCCCTGAGACTCTTATCTCCAATAAACCACCAGAAAACTGGAAGTGGCGCTGTGGCTCAAAGTGGTAGAGCGCTCGCCTTGAGCTGAGGAGCTCAGGGACAGCGCCCAGGCCCAGAGTGCAAGCCCCACAATGCACCAAAAAAAAAAAAAAGAAAAAAGAAAGAAAGAAAGAAGGAAAGAAAGAAATCATCCTGGATTTAGCTTGAATTAGCTGCTGAGTCAAGGTCTTCAAAAAGAGCTAGAAGAGGAAACAGGTTTGTGGAGATCTAATTTGCATACCACCTATGCTATTCCTTTTATTTTTGTTGGTCACGGGGCTGGCTTTGAACCATGATCCTCACATCTCAGCCTCCTGAGTAGCTAGGATGACAGGCATGAGCCACCAGCACCCAGCTCATTTGTGCTATTTCTCCAAGTGTACCAATCAGCAATAAAGCTGTGCTACTAACACCCACTAAGTCTAGAACATTCCATCAGTCCTGTCCCCAAAAAGGATCACTCCATCCCCTCCCCAACACCTGCCCACCCACAAGTCTACTTCTGGTCTCTGGTCTCTGTGGATTTACCTGTTCTGGATGTTTCTACCAGTGAGATTGTATGTGTGTTTGTGTTTGTGTGTGTGTGTGTGTGTGTGTGTGTGTCAGTCCTGAGGCTTGAACTCAGGGTTTGGGTACTATCCTAGAGCTCATTTTTTCAAGGGTAGGGCTCTACCACTTGAGCCATACCTCTGCTTCAGCTTTGTGGTAGTTAATTGCAGATAAGAGTCTTATGGAGCCGGGCGCTGGTGGCTCACGCCTGTAATCCTAGCTACTCAGGAGGCTGAGATCTGAGGATCGCGGTTCAAAGCCAGCCTGGGTAGGAAAGACCATGAGACTCTTATCTCCAATAAACCACCAGAAAACCGGAAGTGGCACTGTAGCTCAAGTGGTAGAGCGCTCGCCTTGAGCTGAAGAGCTGAGGGACAGCACCCAGGCCCAGAGTTCAAGCCCCATGACCGACCAAAAAAAAAAAAAAAAGAGTCTCATGGACTTTCATGCCCCGGCTGGCTTCGAACCTCCGCCCTCAGTTCTCAGCTTCCTGAGTAGCTAAGATTACAGGTTTGAGCCACCAGCGCCCTGGCCCATTACCAGATCTGTAAGAGCAATTCCATTCAGGAAACCCTTTCCTTTTCCTTGACCCAAACCCATCCTGCAAAGCCTGAAACAGGAATATTATACAGCTAAGAACCAGAGCAAGGCAATTCATGTCTACACTTGGAAGGCCCAGGAGGGATGGTGCTGGGTCAGAAGGAAGGGGCTTCCTTGGGACCAGGTGGGGTACAGGCACAGTACTGAGCCCCCTCCTCTGGCACAATCATGTCCTGATGGGGACAGGCATGGGGTTCAGTGTCTCCTCAGGGCCCCAGTCCTTCCATGTTCTTTAGGAAGAATGATATAAATGTGGATTCTTTCCTTCCCTGGC